TATTCAGTCCAGATTAGCTTGACTTGTTCCTGCCTTCCAGTGGAGAAAGTTTGATCAATGGCATTGAGAGACCAGCTGACCAGATTCACCAAGCTTTTTTGTCAGAGCAGCATACCCATAGTCAATACGCATCCGCAAGATATCAGATTTACTTTTATCTCTTTAGTTTTGTACAAAAAATAAACTTTACACTACCTCATCAGGCGTGTATCACTTTAGTCATTTACAAAAAAAAAATTTAATTACTTATTTTTTTTGTGTTTTTAGAAGCGTATAGCGATCTGACATTTAATTATTTTTTTTGTAAATGACTAAAGTGATACACGCCTGATGAGGTAGTGTAAAGTTTATTTTTTGTACAAAACTAAAGAGATAAAAGTAAATCTGATATCTTGCAGATGCGTGTTGACTATGGGTATGCTGGTCTGACAGAAAAGCTGCTCTTCATATCAGCTGAATCTGGTCAGCTGGTCTCTCAATGCCATTGATCAAACTTTCTCCACTGGAAGGCAGGAACAAGTCAAGCTAATCTGGACTGAATAAGTTGAATCATGTTTGTTCCACAGAGGTTTTAGTGAGCAGAGTGCGAAGAAAAGGAGACTTTTTTGCAGAATGCCAAAAGTGTAAAAATGAATGTTTTTCCACTTTTCAAAGGGAATCTGGTCAGATAAATTTACTGATTTCCATTATTGGAGACCTTCTGCATAAGACAAGGCCTTTGCTCCTAAGATTTAGGCGTTAGTTCATGAAATTAACAATAATATCACCAAGCTGAATAGAAAATAAGAATAAGAGAGCAGCTTATGTAACGCATGCTGGTGACCTCTGACCCCTCCTTGGAAATGTCTCTAGTTTCCACAATGCAAAACAAGTAGATCTAAATAATAATTTTTTTCTTAAAATATGTGCATTTTTCTTAAAATGTAGGACTTAAGTGACACTTTGCCTGTGGAACAAGACAATTTATATTTTTAAATAAAAATCAAGTGCATATTATCTAATTATCATATTTTAAGAGTAAAAAAAAAAATCTAATTTCATTGACAAATCATTTTATTTACCTACTCAAATTAAGGGAAAATACACTTAATTGATTTTTTATTTATTTACTTATTTCTAGATTGTTTTTGCACTGCAATGATGC